AGAATGGAGGAGAAGGGATTGCAGCGTGGCCATTCCCCCGGGGGGGGGGGGATTTCTCGCTTTCTGTCTCTCTGTCTCTCTCTGTCTCTCTAGCGAGCACATGTGCCCTATAGCAAAAACTTCTCAAAAAAAAAAAAAAGAGCAAGGGAGGCATTGAGATTGAAGTGCTGTCAATCAGGGGAAAGTAGTAGAAGAGGTAATAAAGTGGGGGCAGGGGACAGATTATGAATAAGAGTTGGTTTTCTCTGAATAAGAGTCCATCAGGTTTGAAAGGTATAGTACTTCTTATTTTATAGTTTTAAGTAGCTGTTTATATTATTTGTTTAGCACATAGAAGAGGGTTATTGATCCAAAATTGTTCGTACTTTAGTCATTTTAAGGTGCCCAGGACATTGGTCAACAAGTATAATTGTACTTCAAAACTAAACTGTCCTTCAACATTTATTATCTCCAACTATGTATCATTGACTTCCCTGAATTTCCAGAAGACTCACATGATCCTCTTTGTTTTTTATATTCTCAGTTCAAATTGTTACTTATTCTAAAGTAGCAAATATTAAAATACATTGTATTTGTCCTTGTATGTGTCTTTCTCAGGCCTTGGATGGTGACTATTCATACTCTGTCCCAGCACAGGGCACAGGTTGGCTGGTAGCACTGCTCCTGGAGGTGGGAAATATAAGAGAAGGGGCAGGTTTTAGGAAAAAGATAATGAGTTCAGTTTTTCTTTATCTTTTTTTATAAAGAACTATTAATTTAATTGTATTTATTTATTTATTTTTAATTGCTATAGGGCACATGTGCTCTCCAGAGAGAGAGAGAGAGAGAGAAACAAGTCTCCAGGTCAGGGACTTGAAATGGCATCAGCCAAGTAAGAGTCCAGCACCTTAACCACTATACCCCAAGTTCAGCCTTTCACGTGTTAATTTTAAGTACCTGTGGAATAGACATCCAAGCAGAAATTTTCATTAGGCATTTGGAAGAGAAAAATTAAGGATGATGAAGATAATATTTGAATGTTATCGAGTGATGGTAGAAGCTTTATCTGTAGTAGGACATTAGCCAAAGATAATTATGTTATGCCAATGTTCGAGGTTCCTATGAAAGAATAGGAATGCTAAAGGGAGCCCAGAAAGAATGTTTCAAAATAATTTAAAAAAACTAGCAGAGAAGAACTTCAAGGGGCCAGTAGATGGTGTAATGGCTGTCGCTGGACTCCCATGTAGTCGACCATGGTTCAAGTCCCAGACCCAGTGGCTTAAACTCACGCCGGGTGTGTGTGCGTGCATGCCCAAGATCCTGAGAGGAGAATGGAGAAGGGATTGTGGCTTGGCCATCCCCCTGGTAGGGGGAGTGATTTCTCGCTTTCTGTCTCTCTGTCTCTCTCTTTCTGGTGAGTGCACATGCCCTATAGCAAAAACCTCTTTAAAAAAAAGAAGAATTTCAAGGCAACTGACAGGAATTTACAAGAGTAGGATGTTCAGC